TTCTAGGTTCTTTTGACTACACAAAAACATTTACTTTTCTCAGATCAATTTTTCTCAAGTTTCTCCTCAAAAAATTCCACTGAGTTTCTTTTGAACCAGAATTCCATTAAATTTATAGATACAATGAAAAACAATGATATTTTTAGAATACTGTGATTCCCACCCAGTAAAAGGCAGACATATAAAGACCCCTTTAGACAGACATACAGACACACACATGAATACATGAATATAATATTTTAATGTGACTATAACTAGTACCCTGGCCTCACACAAATGAATTTTTAAATGACAAAATCTTACAGTTAGAGGGACATTACAGATCACTTAGTCTAATGCCTCTCGTAATCCCAGTTATGTTTACCTCAAGCCTACTTAAGAGAATCACTTCAAAATTAAAATATACCTTTTACATTCAATATAATCATAAAGGTACTATTTGGCTCACATAAAAGGCAGAGAAGTGGGCTACAATGATTGAAGACTGCTTTGAATTTAGGAATCCTTTTAGAATAAGATGCATACTTGGACTCAAAGGAAAAAACACTGAGTACCATAAGTGCATACAACGAGGACAGCTCCAAGTGCTTTTAGACACTCATGTTTCCAAGGTAAAGTCACTCTGTTATGGTGTTGTCCAGAAACCAAACTTCACAGTACCAAATAATTCCCTTCCCAAAAGTTTCATCATATTAATAAGAACAAATTCAATAACAACCACCAAATCAAACAAGCCTGAAACCCAATTCTAAATGCGTTCCTCAAATCTGGCTGCCTATCTGACCACCTGTGGAGCTTCTAAAAATAAGATTGTTTAGGTCCCACCTTGGGATTCTTCTTCAGCAGGTCAGCAATGCTAGCGCATTTTTCTTTCTGTTTTTTTTTTTTTTTTTTTTTTTTTTAAGCTGTAGTAGGTTCTATTCTCAGCCACAATTAAGAACAATTATTCTAAAATATTTAACAAGAACAAAGTCCCATAATATACCAAGTATCCCTACACAAGAAGTGGAGGTGGGAGGAATTAAAAAAGCATATTTATCTCTTCACCAGCCCAGCAACGTTTACTGCTAATTATATAAAGAGCTATGTCCCTATACTACACCAAAGTCTTGAAACAAACAAAAAATACTAAAAACAAAGCTTTAGACTGTTCACATATTGATGATGTTATTACAATACTTGAAACGCCTTTTTCTTTTTATTCTTTTGAAGTCAACCCTGCACCCCATCTCATCTCCCAAGGGAAAGGAAAGCTGACTTTTAAAGATAAAAAAAAAGTTCACTTTAAAAAAATCACAAATACACCCGGGCCGGGTTTCTCAGTGGTTAGAGCATCAGCCCAAGGACCAAAGAATCTCAGGTTTGATTCTGGTCAAGGGCATATACCTTGGTTGTGGTTCTATCCCCAGCCTAGTTGGGGTCCTATGGAAGGTAACCAATCAATGTCTCTCTCTCACATTGATGTTTCTCTCTCTCTCCCCTTCCCTCCCTCCCTCCCTCCCTTCCACTCTATCTGAAAATCAATGGAAAAATATCCTCGAGTGAGGATTAATAAATTTTTTAAATAAATAAAAATTGCAAATACCATTCAAGTTTTAAGTAAATTCATTTTTACTTTGTAAAATAGAAGGGTGAAAGCACATTCATAAAAAAATAAAAATAAAAAGAGAGACTAATTATTTGACTATGACATTAGATGAAATTTCAGTCTAACAACTGTTGCTTCTAGACTGCAGAGAACTGCCAACACATATAAGCACCCTCAAATGAAGCACAAAACCAAAGAAAGGCCAATATGGTAAAGGAAAAACTTACATACAATGCAATATGCAAACTAAATCAAAATGTTCCTAAGGTCTAACCCTCCAAGAAAATGATTTCACTTTCTAACAACAAACTGATGTACTGAATTGAGGCCCGTTGTGACTTATATTCCTGGTATGAGTGATTCATATTCCTGTTACTCCTAGGCACCTGAAAAATGGAGCACATAAAGCTACACAGAAAGTTACATGTTAAGTAATTAGTGAGGGTAAAAGATGTATTAAATAATCACAGTAGCGCTGTGCAAAAGGAAGTTCATGAAACTAAATCATCCTACAGACTACCCTGCTATGTTGCAAGTTTGGCCCAACCAAAAATACTTTCTTACATTTTGTAAAAGCTATTTGGTATTTTCCATCTTGAAAGCAAAGGCAACATGCAGAAGTTTACCACCTTACTATAAAAGGAAACTAAATTTTCTTAAATAAGCCCTGTTGTGCTTTTGTCCAAGCAAGAGTCAAATAATTTTACATTTAAATAACAATAGCATATGAAGATATAGGTATTCATGATTTAATGGAATCAGTTTTGACAATGTACAACTTCACCAACATCTTTTCTTAGAACTGTGGCCCAAATCAATATTAATTCCTAGACCTTAACCTTCATATCACATGACCATGTGAGATAGCAAAATTCAAGTAACAAATAAGAATAAGGGAACTGTAACCCCAAAAGATCTGCAGTAAAAACTGAGATGTATGTTTATACACACTGACAAGTAATTTGCCAAGATATTAAACAAGAAATGAATAAAAACCTTTCTCCAAAGCTTTTACATATGAATTATTTCTATGCAAACCATATGATTAGCAGGTATTAAAAAGCAAACTCTGCTCCTAGAGTATTTCAAACAAAACCAGCTTACTGCAAAAATAAAAATACAATCTTTCCTCAGTAAACATTTCTCCTAAAGTATTGCTATGCTGGGATAAATAACTCAGTTGAGTTAGCACACTATACTTTTGAAACTTAATAAAATATTTAGACATATATTCTAATATTGAAAAAAAATTCAGACAGTAAAATCACAGGCATCATATATATTCATAAATACACACACACACACACACACACACACACACACCATTGTAGACCTTGAAATTTCAATGAAGGTCTGGGAAAATAATTATCTACCCTCTTTTAAACAACCATAAGAACTTAAAATGTACTTGTCAGTTTATTCTAAAATCTGGACTTCTACTTTGCCCCAATACAATTAAGATTTAGGTCGGTTAAGGAAAAATTATTCTGCCTAAATATTTTGCAAAATTGAACTCCATTTTCATTATGTCTCTAAAGCTTACTACTAATAAATAGCCAGGATGGATTACATTAGAAACAATTCTCTCAGGAATTTTAACCTGACACCAATCTTTTGATTGCCCACTCTTAGGAGTCTAAGACATGGAGAGAGATAAGTGACTTTGGCTTGTTCAGTAGAAGCTTAGTTATTAAATGCATGCTGTTAAAGTTTACTAGTATTTCAAAATCTTTCTCTTCCCCATAGTTTTTGTCCCTCTCCCCATTTATTCCTTTACACCTTATCAACCTGCAAGAAATCAAAAGAGGTAGCCCCAATATCGAACACATTACCTTTGATTTAGTAGATTTGTATATTTAGGGGTGTTTTAGGTTTAGATTTCAAATTCAAAATATTTTTCAAAATTTTACTTGACCCTAAGCTATGCTCAAAATAACTACAAGTTAGTCAACCATAATTTTTTAATTTTACCCACCCCCACCCCCTACTAACTTATCATCAGGAAACAAATGATGTGCAGACAAATACAGCTAGAAAAAAGGTTGCTTGGTTCAATCCAGGAACCACTCAAATGTCCCCTTTTCGGAATTTGCATGTAAATTCTGTAGGACAAAGTTCTTACATTCACTTTCAAGATTTCATTAACTCAATCCCATGCTTTCTGAAACGTTTTTATTTAAAATTCTGAAGAGAGATTTGCACAAACAATTCAAAAGACAAACTTTATCTCAGCTAACTAAAATACTGAGCACCTAAAATCTCCTACTAGGTGGAGGAGTCAGGGTAATCAAGGCAAAATGTCTTCTCACAGAAGCAATGTACCTCAAGAGCTCTGTGTAATTCATCTTCAGTAAGATTTTTTTCTTTTGGAAATGCTCTTACCTACAACTCACTGTTCCCAGAATACACTCAATCAGATTTAAGTTTGAGAGCACAGATTTACCAAGGTTTTAATAAGATTGTTGTCTTAGTTTAGCCATTTAAGGCTGGTGGCTAAAAGAACATCTGCAAGTGATGTTTGAGGGATTCACCTGGCACACGGGAAATTTGCAAAACGGTAAAGGGCCGCAGGGCCAAGCTTAGGGCTTGTGTAAATGTAAATCACCTACACACTGGCCTGGTTACCAAAACCAAGATTCCATCAGAATAAGTGTCTAGGTGTCTAGATTTTCTGGAGATGAGAATTAAAAACAAACGCTTACACTCATCGCATACTATACAATTTCACTTGTCACTGAGAAAAGGGCACGTCTAATCCGGGGGGGGGGGGTTCATTTTTCCTTCAAGGAAGGCAGGTTTGGAGTCATTTGCAGGGGATGGGATTGCGGGGAGGGGGGGGGAAGGGGGCGTGGAATAAAGGAGTGCTAAATAGAAAGGCAGCCAGGGGGTTTGCACAGGGCCCCACACAGGCCACTGCGGAGAGAAGACAGAAGAGGGGAAGATGTCTCACCGGGGGACAAAACCGAGTGCAAACCGGCTGGAAGAAGGAAGGTTCCCCCCCGCCCCACGCCGCCCCAGGAGAAGATCTGGGGTGCAGATAAAAACCTCTAGCGGCTGGTTACCTTGGGATACAGGGGAAAGGAACAAGAGGAATACAGGTAGAGGAGAGAGGAAGGATGAGGCAGGGGCTCTGATAAGTGCGAACCAAGGATGAAGACAAACAGCGGGACTTGGGCCTCCCTGGGCCAAAAGGCGTGGCCAACGTTCCAGATCAAAAGATGGTCTTTTTGAGACGCCAGGGGAAGTGCGCGGCAAACCCCTCCTTCAAGACCCCAGACCGGGCCCGTCTGAAGGGCCCACCTGCCAGGCACCTCGAGGGCGGAGAGCGCCCCACAGGGCTCCGGCCTCGCTCGCGGGGCCCTCCGCAGGGCGCCTGGCCAGGCCCCCGCCCCCATCCCCGCAGTGCTCTTACCTCCACACCTGCCCCATCTGCAGCAGGTGGATGACCGACTGCCAGATCCACACGGAGAGGCGGCACAGGCGCTGCGCCCCCGGCGTGGCCGAGCCCCCCGCGCCCGGGCCGCCGCGGGCCGCGCCGTGGCCATAGCCGGCCCCCATCATGGGGGGGCCCCGGCTGCTGAGCCCCTCCACGGCGCCCAGCCCGCCGCCCGTGTAGTCCTGCACGAACCAGCGGAAGCTCAGGCTCTGCACCAGCAGCGACGGCACCAGCACGAAGAAGAGGGTCAGCCCGAAGTAGCCGTAGTCCCCCTTGCGGTAGTAGTCGAGGGCCAGCCACAGGTCGGTGCCCACGTCCCCGAAGAAGACCAGCAGCGCCAGCACGATCCACAGGCAGTCGAGCCACGGCCGCTCCACCTGCGGCGGCGGCGGCTGCGGCCGCGCGGCCGAGGGCGTCGGGGGGTGGCGGTCGGCGCCGGCGGCCGCGGGCGGTTGCAGCGGCTGGTCCCCCCCGTCGGCGGCGGCGCTGCGGCGCGGCTTCTTGCCCAGGAGGGAGCGCAGGCAGGCGGAGCGGCAGCCCCAGTAGCACGAGGAGGTGTTGCAGCAGTGGCAGATGTGCAGCGAGCTGCTCTCGCCGGGCTCGCTGCCGTCTCCGCCGCCGCCGCAGCCGCCTCCCCCGGGCTCCCCGTCCTCCTCGCCGCCGCTGCCCACCGCCTCGTCCAGGTTGTGCAGCTGGGCGAAGCCCACCCCCACGCCACCGCCATCGGATTTCGCCGCCATCTTGACTCTCTTCCCAGCTCCGGAGGTTGGGGGGGGAGGGATGGGTGGGGGGGGGAAGAAGGCAGGGAACGGGGAGGGGGGAAACGAATGGAGAGGAAGGGGGGCGGGGAGGAAGCGGGGGAGCAAACGAACGAGGGGGGAGTGGGCCAGGGAACCCCCTCCGCTTCCGGGTAGTTGGCGTCACTTCCGGGCGAGCCCCCCAATCACACGGCGCCCGCAGCTCCCCGGCCCTACCCTCCCGGCCAAGATGGCCGCCCTCCTATGCCTCAGCTGCTGGGCGGGGGGCCGGGGGGTTCTCCCCGCCAGGGCTCCCCTTCCCCTCTTCCGTTGACCCCGAAACCCATCAGGTTGACCCCTCGGCGTTTCTGAATCCTGCTGGGCCAAGTGAGGCGGTCCAAAGTGATCCCTGGAGGGGGCAGTGCCAGACGTTTTGGGGTCCCCTTCCTCAGCGTCGCAGCTCACAGCTTTCCTCCTGGAGAAACGCCCCCTAACACCCTCCCGGCTGCTGGCGGAGGGGCGGGACCTCTGAGGGAAGGGGCGGAGCTAGTGCAAAGCAGGTGATTACGTGTCACTTCCGGGAGATAGGATGACCTCATTGTGTAGACACCCTTCCCCCCAATCAAAATGGCTGTGTCTCACCTCTTTGGCAGTTCTTTTTTTTTTTTTTTTCCTTTTAAAAACACCTCTTACTCTTTTCTTATTTTGAGGGTCTTTAGAAATTACATAAGTTAGAGTCCCACACACAACTTATTGATTCTCACTTCTATTTAGATACCTCCTTCCTCTTTTACCTCTGTTGACCCCATGCTTTTCCTGTCACTGACAACTTTACCATCTTTTGTAATAGTTTCCACAGTTTCCTTAAGAAACCTCCAGGCAAAATCCGGTTAAAAATCAGCCCTATTGTGTCTTGAATGTTAGAGCAAAGATTGAATTGGCATAGTGTGACCTTGAGTGTATCATCTTCCCCATTGATGTATTTGTCAACTTTTTTTGAAGTATGCAATTTTTAAAATTCTGTGACCTTAATGTGGAAAATTCAAAACTAGCCAGAGGTTAGGCTATACCAATTACTTTTTCAGATTATTTGAATGTGTGAAGATTGCCTTTTAGAATTTTTTGGTGCTAAAGGCTCTGTCAGTAAACATGGCTTTAAATGAGTGAAAATGGTATCAATGTGTTATATCATTAAAATAGGTGCAGGGTACACTACTTAATCTTAACTAACAAATTATTGAAGTGAAGCAGCACTGAATGGATTTGAATTACAATGATGTCCCACTGAAAGTATATTTGAAGCCATACAGAGGAAGCTACATGGTAATAGTTATTACTCATCAGGTGAAAGGAACATTCTGAAGTTAAAAACAGAAAAACATTTAAACACTGCATTTTTCTCATGACCTTTCTATATTTTTGTACTCATTTTTCTGATTCTATCTACTTCCTCCTTCAGTAAAACTTTTTAATAATGCCAATAACTTTTTTTGAAATGCTGAGGACAAATTAGGTAATATCTATATGGATGGCATTGAGGTTCTGTGGAAGAAAAGTACTTTTGAAATTTTCTATGATATCATTTTGATGTCTATGATATTTAACTCTATAGCAATTAGTTAAGTTTTAGGAGTGGTGGGGGAAAGATGAGGATTCCACATTTCAGGACATAACTTTACATGAATATTTGTGCCAAGGTAAATAAAACCTGTAAAGACTTTACAGAAAGTACCCATAGAGAATTTGTACACCAGTCATTTGTTCTTTTTTTTGGGGGGGGGGGGGGAGGATGATTCCAAAATCTTCTTTTGGAAACAAGTCACATAGCTGTATCCTTTTATTTCATACTATGATTTAAACCTCTTGTTACTATGGTAGTAAAACTTATAGCCAGCAGGTAAGGATTATTTCTGCATACAGATGGGATTCTATTTCTTTCTTTGCTGAGTTTGAATTAATCATGCCTGAGAACAATGGTATACACATCCAGTAGGATTGCCCAGGTTTGGATCTCAGTTCCACTAAAATAATGTGTACAATGTGAATAAGGGAATTAACTTCTTTAAACCTCAATATCCTATGTTATGTAGTAAAAATGGTAATAGGGCTTTCTTTTAAAAGTTGTTGGGCAAATTAAAGGTGGTAGTCCATTCAAAGCTCTCAACATAATACCTAATAGATAGTAATAGAGAGTAAGCACTAAATAAATGGTAACTGCCATTATTATTGTTATGATTATTATCACTATTGTTGCTATTATGTTTGCATAGTACCAACATATAGTTACTTAAATTCTATCATTTAGATTTGGTATCTCTAATAAATTCAAGTATTTTTAAATACATCTAGGAAATAGGTACAATGAATTTGTGTTTAAAATATATTTCCTCTCTTTAAGCAGCAATGGCATATTCCTATTTCTCTGTTCCGTAAAAGAACATTATCTACTAGTGAAACTAGCTAAGTAAGTTATACTTACTGTATAAGGCTGACAAATGAGATTGAGTCAAAAGTGCTTTCACAATTGGAGCTTCAAGCAGATTTATAGGATTCACAGACTCAAATGATTTCAACTTTACATTTGCTGTTTCAACAATTTTATCATTCTGCATTATTTGGAAGTAATACACTGTAGAACCCAGGAGGTTCTAAAATTAAAATCTCTTACAATGATAAATGATAATACAGCTATCATGAGACTCACTGAAAGGTTATCAGAAATTTGGACTTTGTGATGAATGGTACTTTTTTTTTTACCTGGAGTTTTGGGGCAATTAGGTGTTCCAAGTAACATCATCACTTTGCACAGTACTGAACTCATCATGAGCACTCAATAAATATTGGTTAAATGAGTGAATTAATTAAATTCACTTTCTGGATAACTGAAATTTACCCTTTTGAACTGTATTTTATATTTTGTGATGTAAATCTTCATAAAACTCATTGATGTATCACATAAATACCTCTATTCTTTATTAAATGAGGGATGTGGGGAAATTAATAAAAAAGAAATGCATTACTTTAAGGTCTGCTCCTCTTTTTTAAATTTTTTTTCTTTATTGATTTTATAGAGAGAGGAAGAGACAGGGAGAGAGAGATAGAAACATCGACAAGAGAGAACATTGATTGGCTGCCTCCTGCATGCCCCCCACTGGGGATTTGGCCCACAACCTGGGCATGTGCCCTGACCGGGAATCGAACCAGCAACCTCTTGGTGCATGGGTCAATGTTCAACCATTGAGCCACACCAGCTGGGTGGGTCTGCTCTCTTAATAGCACACCAGTTAACTCTTTTTTGATGACTTGACCTTAAAGTAGTCTCATGCTAAGAGGTTCCCCAGGCCTAGTAGACACTGTTGTTGTTGTTTACAAATAACACCTTTAAAAAAAAAAAAATCTCTGCTTTTCATAGTTCAGTCAGGTAACAACTTGGGCCCCTATTATTTCCACTCAGATATAGGCTAGAGAGCCAAACCACAAAGCATGTTAGTATTACATGTAAAATAATAGTGAGTAGGTTTTTAGAGCATCTTCTATGAGTAAAATAAGACAAATTCAATATATGGAAATTGTGGCGTACATTTTGGTAGTTTAGAGAAACCTTTGGGGTTTTTCTTCCCAATTCTCTGCTATATTCAGAATGTCAAAGATGGGAAAGTTAGTGTTGCGTGCTATTATGTATTAGACACTGTCCCAAATATTCCATTTAATATTACAACAGTCCCAAAAGCATGGAGATTAGTATCTTCATATTAATGGTCTAGAAAACAACCTTGAGTCTACCAAATGACTTTTCCAGAGTCACATCCATGGGAGGTAGGGTGACCATGGATTAGAATCCTAGCAGGTTTAATTCCAAAGGCTAAACCAGGCAGTTACTGGCCCCTGGAAATAAAGTCAGTGTAACTGTATTAGTCACTGGAGGGACCCAATTATGATGCTGATACACATCTAGGAGAAAGAAAACTTGAATTCCAACATAGAGATTTGTCCCAGCCAAAGTATTTCAAAGGTGCTTTCTCATACGTTCTTCACAAGATTTTCCTAATTTAAGCCTGAGTAAAACTTCAAAACTACCATGTGATGTCATCCTTATCAATTTGAATCCTTGTATCTTCCTGTCTTCTATAGAAATAGGACTTCTTTGAGCACTGCAGAGTAAGCTCACAGAACCCATTAGCCCTTGAAGCTCCATCTCTATTTGATGTTAAGAACTGAAATTTCAGCGAGCACTCTTGTACACTCCTGGTGGTGTTACAAAATGGTACAATTTCTATCGAAGGAATTTTTGAACTCTGTCAAAATTTAAAATGCAATCACCCTCTAAGACAGCGATCTTTCTTATAGGAGTTTATAAATGTGCACATGTCAAAAGTTACCTGTGGTCAAGGTTATTCATTTAGCATTGTTTATAATAAAAAGGGGAAAATGAAGGAGAAAAGAAATCAAATGTCAATCCAAAGGGAAACTAGTTGACAGAATACCATGCAGTGATATTGAAAATGTGTAGTTTTCTTTTGAATGATATAGAAGTCGCAGGATACTTTGTTACACAAAAAGAGCAAAGTGCAAAAATGATAGAGCATCTTCTGTAAGAAAGGGGAAGGTTAAGGTTATCTATTCCTATTTGCTTGTATTTGCATAAACAACTTAGGAATGGTACGCAAGAAACAAGTGATTACCTATAGGGTGGTGGTAGTGGTGGGGAGAAATGGTGTGAATAGGGGCAGGGATAAAAGAAAAATGACAAATGTTTGGAGGAGGCTTTTTTGGTGGTGAGGGGGAATGTGCACACATGAGGGGTGCAGGGATAGGTAGGAGTGAAGGGGTGGACACATCTGTATTTCTCTCTGGACAGTAAGTAGTTCATAAAGGCTTTTTTCTCTCTTAAGAACTCTGACATGTGTAAACTAAACCCTTCTTGAACTTTGTTGTATTTTTATCCACCAAATTGTCTAAGTAAAGATAATGAGCTCCATGAGTTAATTTCCCAAAGAGCAGAATACAGTAAATTCATCATCCAT